AGGACAAGGGAAGGAGTGGGGAAGGAGAGAGGCAGAGAGTGACAGGAAGATGGGCACGAGCGGCTTGAGCGTGATGCGCGTGGTTGCAGCCACCTGTAGGTCGATAATCTGATGGGCAGGGCAGCACAGAGAGCAGCACCAAGCAGCACCGAACAGCACCGAACATCACCATGCAGTGGAGGAAAGGAAACAGCGGCACCAACAGGGAACCCAACCCACCTGCACGGTACCAGTAAAGCCCTTGGCGGAGGCAGCAACGATAATGTTGTTGTTGGCCGGAACAGGCCAGGAGAGGGCAGCACCGACAGCACCAAGCAGCACCGAACAGCACCATGCAGTGGAGGAAAGGAAGCAGCAGCACCAACAGGGAACCCAACCCACCGGCACGGTGCCAGTAAAGCCCTTGGCGGAGGCAGCAACGATAATGTTGTTGTTGGCCGCCCAGCACAGTGCGGTCTGCAGGATGAACCATGTATGGGAAACAGCAAAGCCACCATAGCCCCACGCACCTGCACGGTGCCAGTAAAGCCCTTGGCGGAGGCAGCGACGATAATGTTGTTGTTGGCCGCCCAGCGCAGTGCGGTCTGCAGGATGACCTCGTCATCCGTGGTGTCAAATGACTTGATGGCTGCGCGGGGGAAGGGAGGGAGGGAGGGGGGGGGGGGGGGGGGGGGGAGGGGAGAGAACAGAGAGAGGGAGGGATGGACAACAAACGTGGGATGCAGGTGACCTGGCTCATAGAGGCAGTGCGGTCTGCAGGATGACCTCGCCGTCCGTTGTGTCAAACGACTTGATGGCTGCCGTGGGAGGGGAGTTGAGGTAGGCGGGGGGGGGGGGGGGAGGGAGGGATGGTGGAGTAAGCTGAAGGGCGAAGGGACATTAGACCCATAAAGGCAGTGCAGTCTGCAGGATGACCTCGTCATCCGTTGTGTCAAACGACTTGATGGCTAACATGGGGGGGGCAGAGAGAGAAGGGGAGCAAGGGAGGGATGAGCAGAAGCGCGGACTTGGGGCTCATAAGCACAGTGCAGTGCAGTGTGCAGAATGACCTGATGGCTGCGATGGGGGGGGGGCGGGGGATGAGGCAAGGAAGCGAGCAAGGGAGAGAGTGGGGGAGCGAAGGAACGAGGAGGGAGGTGGGGAGGAGGGGGGGGAGGGAGGGAGGGACAACCAAGAGTAGGCAGGAAAAGGGGTGTTTTGAGACGTCTCAAAACACTCCTTCTTTCACGAGGGAGGGACAACCAAGAGTAGGCAGGAAAAGGGGTGTTTTGAGACGTCTCAAAACACTCCTTCTTTCACGAGGGAGGGACAACCAAGAGTAGGCAGGAATAGGGAAAGCCGGATTCCGGAAAGGATGTGGTGGAAACGAGGGGAGGAGAACCAGCCTATGAATACGACGGATGTGAGCAACTGAGGAGGGGACTGGCAGAGAGCATGTCGCAGAGCAAAGAGCATGTCACAACGAGCACGTAGCGGAAAGCATGTAGCAGAGAGAGCAAGTAGCAGAGAGAGCAGGTAGCAGAGAGAGAAATTAGCAGAGGGAGCAAGTAGCAGAGAGAGCATGCAGCAGACTGACCGAGGACGGCGAGTGGGATGGTTCCCAGGTCGATCTCCTGGAATTCAAGGGTCTCAATGAACGCGGGCTGCTGCGAGCATGCAATTGACAGCAGCACGCACTAGAAAGCATGCAGCAGAGTGCCCGAATGAGACTGACCAAGGACAGCAGGCGGGATGGTTCCCAGGTCGATCTCCTGGAATTCAAGGGTCTCAATGAACGCGGGCTGCTGCGCCTTGAGAATGGGCGTCCCAATCTCCCTGATCTGCTCGCTGATGGCCTGATGGGACGCACGGACACACGGAAACACAAGGTACACCGATGCATAACGCATCAATTGAAAAGAATGTGAGATTAGAAAAGAAGACGAGGGTTCTCGTGGATGCAACGCGGGCTGTTGGGCTTTGAGCATGGGCGTCCCAATCTCCCTGATCTGCTCGCTGATGGCCTCATAAATCACCTCGTTGCTGGAAATGGAATTACAGTTGAAAACATACTGTTAAGATAGGGCCACATTTCGGCAATGGGCTTGTTCATGCCGTACACGCCACGCGCTGACTACTGAGTCGACTCAAAAGTCGGCCATATCTCGGCAATGGGCTTGTTCATGCAGTACACGCGCTAACTAATGAGTCGACTCAAATGTCGAGAGTGAAGGTACAGTTGGAAAATTACCTTGTTAAGGTAGGGCCACATCTCGGCGACGAGATCGTTCATCCAGTCCACGCGCTGACGATTGAATCGACTCAAATGTCGGCGGTGCATTGGAAGTGAAGGCCACATCTTAGTGACGAGCTTGTTCATCCAGTCCACGCGTTCGTAGACCTTCGCCTCTGGCTCTTTGTGTGTGAAACAGGTAGCGCCTGCTCCTTCATTATAGCGTGTTCCTTTGTTAGTCGCGTTGCATTTAGGACACCGTTAGATTCTAACCTTGTTGAGGTAGGGCCACATCTCAGCGACGAGCTTGTTCATCCAGTCTACGCGTTCGTAGTCCGGGTTGCTGACCCACGGCGGCAGATACGAGTAGTACTCCTGCAGCTCCTCCTCCTTGAGCGTCGCGCCCTCCGGGATCAGCTCCTTCACCTCTGGCTCCTGCGACAAAGAAAAGAAGAAAAGAAGAACAGAATCAGAACAAAGCAGAAGCGGAACGAGGCGCTTCAAAAGTCGTCGCGCCCTCCGGAATCAGCTCCTTCACCCCTGGCTCTTGCGGGAACGAAAAAGAACATAAAATCCCGGGGAAATAAAAACCTGGAAAATCAGGACCTGGGGAAAGAAGGAAAATAATGAAACCCGCGAACGTATGAAGAAACGCATGAAAATGCTGTTTGAGAGTGCGGTGAAAGATGATGCGACAAATTCTTTCGGTTTTGAATCGAGAGGAAGAAAAAATAACATGTGAGAGGGTTGATTGTTATAAACATTGACTCATGACAAGAAAATTATTTGGCGACTAAGACGCGTCGCAGAGCACACCAATTATCTGGGAACTTACCTCCACGGCGGTTGGGAGTTTATGAATGAAAATGAAGTAGCCAGCAACTAAGCCGCCGAGCAAACCAATCGTAAATCCGAGCGTCTGAAAGATGTAGTGAAATCCCTTCACGATGACGAGGTACAGAAGCCATCGAATCGGCAAGAAAATCAAGTAGATGGCGTACGATATGAATGCCATGTTGGTCCACGCCAACAGGATAAGAACGAGGGAGCAGATACCACGCGAGCCAAGATTGGCGACGCGCAGTCGACGACTAAGGAATCAGGAAAAGCCGATGCGGAAACTAGGGATTCAGTGAAGCCACGAAAGATTCACGAGCGCCGATGGAAGAGCGTGGGAACTGGAGGAGCAGAAGGGAAGCAGCAGGATTTAAAGGAATGTCAGGCCGCCATGACAGAAAGAGAAATGGATAAAGAAATAACATCTGCGAGTTCTGTAAGGACTGTGTCAACCGGGTTACCCATTTAATAGTACAACCTCTTCTCAAATTGAAAACATGGGGGACCCTTGACAGGAATTTGGGTCGTGCATGTTCGTGCAAGCTCGCCGGATGTCGCCTGGTCCTGATGAGAGGGTGCGCACAACTGTGGGTTGGAACTTCGACACCGCTGGTAGCCTGGTCAAGCTGCGGAGATCCCGAGGAAGGATCGACCAATGGAGCTCTCGGCTCCCACAGGGATTGCGGGTCTGCTCTGCAGCTCCACCACATCATCATCAGCGGATTTTTGCTCTCTCTGCAAATAAAACGCTTTGTGTCCCCCAACATCCACCGCTGAGCTTCTCGTTAAGCGTGGTAACGAAAATGCAAAACACTTCAGACTACACTCGAACTTCATTAAAGTCGAGCCTAAATTGCGCCAGATCTCTCCTAAATTCCATCACTTCCCTTGTCACTGACATTGGGATCTTCAGAGCGATCGAAGCAGATCAGTCTCACCACCTGTTCTCGTAGTTCTCTGTGTTCTCCCAGTTGGTTGCGCATCGCCAACGTCCTACAACAGTCCCTGGCAGCTCCCCTTGCCCAGCTCCGTGCGATTGTGATGCCGTGGGTTTAGACTCTTAATGTTTGCAGCCTCTCTGATCGTTGCGGCGTGGGTTTCGCGCTCCTAGAGGCTCTTAATTCTCAATCTAGCTATCGAATCTCTTGCAGCATATTTTTTATCTGTTGTCGCGGAAAGTCACAATCTAACGAGGGGAATTAGTGAAAAGCGAGGCTTGAACTTCGGCAGCCATGGCGCAAGAGGAGGAGATGAGTGCGCTGTTTCCGGTGTTCGCGTTATCGATCGTCGCGTTACTGGCCATACCGTGGACTCTGTACCGCCTGATTGGTTTTTTCTCCTCTAAGAAGCAAACCCTGCACTGCCCGTGCTCGCAGTGCGACCGCGATCCGAAGAACCGTCCGACCGTCTGGGCTCGCGTGAGTTATGCAATCTTGTGCGACGCTGTGCGACGTGACGCGATTGGATGCGTCGCGACGCGATCAGCTTCGTTTTGATGCATTTTTTGTGCGAAGAGTTCATGACACGGTGTTGTGCGATCCGGGTAACCAGGCATCCTGTGTTTCCAGACCCTGAATTCAGTGCATACATTTTTGCTTCAATTGAAGAGACTGTCATTACCATGACAGGAAACCTGATGTTGTCAACCCTCGTCACGTTTCTCCCTCCCTTGCTCCAACGAATTCTTAGAATCGAGGTTCGAAATCCTTGTGATCCGAAGCGCGACACAATTCCCTTGTGGCTCGTCTTTCCAGGCGCCTCAAAACTCCCCTCAGTTTTCTCTCTCCTCGGTTACGTTTCTCCCTCGCTCCATTGATTTCCTCGAAACAGGTGTCCAAGTTCCTGTCGATTCAGAACGCGTCTCTCATCCTCATGTTGGTCGCATATTGAGGCGCCTCAAACCCCACTCACTTTTCTCTCTCCTCCTCACTTCTCTCCCTCCTTTGTCACAATGTTTGCCTCGAAACAGGTGTCCAAGTTCCTATCGATTCAGAACGTGTCGCTCATTCTCATGTGGGTCGCCATGGTCGCTCTACTCTACTACATCAAAGTTCTCAACCGCGATGTACGTCCCCCTTTCACTCCTCTCTCTCTACACTTTTCTTTTCTCCATCCTATACTACATCAAAGTTCTCAACCGAGATATACGTTACAAACTGATGTAGTAGGTTACATTTATGATATATTCCAGATTCCCTTTGCATAACGTGGTGTGATGTGTCATGATTTGATATCATTCCACATGTGTCCCTGTGTGTATGCATGCATGCAGGCACAGCCCTTCGAGCCATTCTCCATCCTGGGGCTAAGTCCTGGAGCATCAGATGACTTTTGACACATCTCAAAAGTCGTCTACGTACATTACATCATGAGGACGAGATATGGCATAATGTGATACTAATGGAAATTATATATGTCCGTGTGTGTGTGCATGCATGCAGGCACAGCCATTCGAGCCGTTCTCCATCCTGGGGCTAAGTCCTGGAGCATCAGATGCGGACATCAAGAAGGCATACCGCAAGCTCTCCTTGCAGTACCACCCTGACAAGAACCCCGACCCAGGTGAACCCCGACCCAGGTGAACCCCGACCCAGGTGAACCCCGACCCAGGTGAACCCCGACCCAGGTAGATGCTCTTTGGGACGTAGCCCTACTCAGGTAAATGCCCTGCCGCAAGCTCTCCCTGCAGCACCACCCTGACAGGAACCCTGACCCAGGTAATGCCGTTTTTCTAGTAACCCTACCCAGGAAATCTCCTTGTGCAAGTAAACCGATGCAATCGAGTTTGGAGACTTTGTCTTCCACGTATCCCCCATGTGTGTGCTGCCAGCCGCCCACAAGTTCTTCACGGATTACATCCCCAAGGCGTACCAGGCGCTGACGGACGAGGTGGTTGATAGCGACGAGGGGTTTACTTGCTTATCACAACTCTTGTCCTGCCCTCCTCCCTATGCGTTTTCACCTCCACCACCACCAGACGCCCACAAGTTTTTCGTGGATTACATCTCCAAGACGTACCAGGCACTGACGGACCAGGTGGCTGGTAGAGGCCTGGGGTTTACGTGCTTATCCCGACTCTTGTCCTGCCCTTCCCCCCGTTCCTTGTCCCCCACCAGCCGCCCACAAGTTCTTTGTGGATTACATCTCCAAGGCATACCAGGCGCTGACGGACGAGGTGGCGAGGGCCAACTGGGAGAAGTACGGCCATCCGGACGGGCAGCAGGCCATGAACGTGGGCATCGCGCTGCCCAAGTTCATGCTCGACATTCAAGGACCCAAGGTGAGGTTCTAATCCAAGGTGGGGCTTAAGAGGCGGGCCGTATGAAGCTGCTCATAATGTGGCTGGTTGGTTCTGTTGAGAGGTGGGGCCACCCGGACGGGCAGCAGGCAATGAACGTGGGCATCGCGCTGCCCAAGTTCATGCTCGACATTCAAGGGCTCAAGGTGGGGCTATAATCCAAGGTGGGGTGGGTTTGGGCCGTATGAAACTGCTCATACTTTTGTTGATTGTGAGAGGTGGGGCCACCCGGACCGGAGGGGCAGCAGGCGATGAACGTGGGAAGGGAATCGCTTGGCCCCCAAGTTCATGCTCGACATCCAGGGACCCAAGGTGTGGTTGTATCCCAAGGACTTAGGAGGTGGGCCTTTTGAAGCTGCTCATGGTGTGGTGTGGTTGCAGTCATCTACCTCTCCTGCTCCTCCAAGGTGACTTTTGAGTCGACTCAAAAGTCACCCTTTGAAGCTGCTCACAGTGTGGTGTGGTTGCAGTTGTCATCTACCTCTCCCGCTCCTCCAAGTGCCTTCACGAAGCGCCTTCTGACACCCCTCTTACCCACCTGCCGTCCCACCAACCCGTGCAGGGAGCGTACCTTCTTCTTGGCTTGGTCGGGGTAGGCATCATCCTGCTACCCCTCATTGCAGTCGTCATCTACCTCTCGTGCTCCTCCAAGTACATTCACGGAACTTCTTCCCACCCCCCACTTTCCCTTCCCACGGTCCCCCACCCCACCTCCTGTGCAGGGAGCGTACCTTCTTCTTGGTCTGGTTGGGGTGGGCATCCTGCTGCCGCTCATTGCAGTTGTCATCTACCTCTCGCGCTCCTCCAAGTACACAGGCAACAACGTCATCCAAGACACTTTGCGCAACTTCTACCAGCTCATGAAGCCGTCCCTTGCTCCCAGGTCAGTATAGCCGTCAGGAGTATAGCCCTACCTTCCAGATTAGTATAGCTCTCACATGTCAATACAGATACCCCACTCGCGTTCTTCCAAGTACACGGGCAACAACGTCATTTAAGACACGCTCAAGGAACTTCTACCAGCTTATGAAGCCCTCTCTCGCCCCCAGGTCAGTATAACCCTGCCATGACAGCATGGCCCTTCCAGGTCAATATAGCCACCCCTTATCGCGCTGTAAACATCTACCTCTCGCGCTCCTCCAAGTACACGGGCAACAACGTCAGTCAGGACACCCTAAGGAACTTCTATCAGCTTATGAAACCCTCTCTCGCCCCTGGGTTAGTAGAGTGTCTAAGGGTGCAGTTCTTACCTGTGTGGTAATACAATGAAGTGTGGTAAGATGAGCTGAGCTGAGATGTTACTGCGCGCTGTTCTCTCCGCATGCAAACAGGATGGAGGGAGTTTGTGGGCGACACGCAAGGAAGGTGGTTGGGAACGAACCGGAGGGAGTAGGTGCTGAGGATTTGAGGAAGGAGGAAGGTGGTGGGCAATGTTTGAGTAAGGTAGTTGGGAGGGAACCGATTACATCTGAGGCAATAATTGGCGAGGTTTCAAGTAAGGAGGATTGACGCATTAGCTGGGATGGGATGGTTGCATGATGGTGCGTTGAAGTAAGGCCAGCTGGGCTGGCTGGGTTAGCGATCCTGCACCTAGGTTAGCGATCCTGCACCTGGGTTAGCGATCCTGCACCTGGGTTAGCGATCCTGCACCTGGGTTAGCGATCCTGCACCTGGGTTAGCGATCCTGCACCTGGGTTAGCGATCCTGCACCTGGTTTAGCGATCCTGCACCTGGGTTAGCAGGCCTAATAACGACCCATCACAGTGGGGCCTACTCACAGTGGGATTTCCACAGGCAGGACCTTGGGTGCACGGCTGTGAGTAGAAGGGAGGCAGCTGGGTAGGTAGAATGGGATAGTATAGGGGAGGCTGTGTTTTGCTTTTTGCTTGTATGCTTCTTGTGTTAGTGGATCTTTTATTTGATTTCTTACCACACGACTCAAGAGGCAGCAAGAGGAAAGGAGGCCAAAGATGGGAAGGAAACGCAGGAGGCAAAGGAGAGAAGGAGAAAGTACGCCCCGCAGAGGCGGAAGGATATACAAAGATCGCGAGAAGCGTCCCTTGCTGCTCCCAGGTCAGTTGTCTTACGGCACAGCGGGGGTCCACACACTCATTCAGTTTGTCTTCTCCGTATGGTGGGATGGGAGTCTGATAGAGACTCGTTACCGTCTTGCAGTTCCTGGAGTGGATTTTTGAGGCGCCTCAGAAATGTTCTCCATATGGTGGTAGTCTGATTTAGGCTCATCACAGCCTTGCAGTTTCTGGAGACGAAGGTGGACCTGGAGTGCATGAGCCATGGGTCGGACGAGGGAGAAGAGGTGCTGTATGGCATGTGTGGCATGGGCCATAGCAGAGCTTTTACAGCACGTCTTCTCCCTCTCTCCACGTCCCTGCTCCTTTGTGATCTCACTCGTTCTCTGCCCCTGTTCTCCCACTCCCTCTACGCTTGGTCCTTCACAGCAAGGTGATAGACGTGCTGACTAGAGCCATGGAGTCTCTAGAGATGAAGGTGCACGTCTATCATGGAGCCATGGAGTTTCCAGAGCCATGGAGCCATGGAGTTTCTAGAGCCATGGAGCCATGGAGTTTCTAGAGCCATGGAGCCATGGAGTTTCTAGAGCCATGGAGCCATGGAGTTTCCAGAGCCATGGAGCCATGGAGTTTCTAGAGCCATGGAGCCATGGAGTTTCTAGAGCCATGGAGCCATGGAGTTTCCAGAGCCATGGAGCCATGGAGTTTCTAGAGCCATGGAGCCATGGAGTTTCCAGAGCCATGGAGCCATGGAGTTTCTAGAGCCATGGAGCCATGGAGTTTCTAGAGCCATGGAGCCATGGAGTTTCTAGAGCCATGGAGCCATGGAGTTTCTAGAGCCATGGAGCCATGGAGTTTCTAGAGATGGGCCAGACGTGGAGTGGAGCCCATGCAGCACGTCTTCTCCCTCGTGCACTCAGAGCTCAACCTTGACTCCCCTTTCCCTTCCCCTCTCCCCTCCCCTTCCCCCTCCCCTTCCCCTCCCCTCCCCCTCCCCGTCCCTCTCCCCTTCCCTCCCATGGTGTGCCACAGCAAGGTGATCGACGCCCCGACAAAGGCCATGGAGTTTCTGGAGATGAGGGTGCGCGGGCCGGACCTGGAGCCCATGCAGCGCGTCTCCTCCCTCGTGTGCTCAGAGCTCAATCTGGCCTGGACTGGACCCCCCTCCCCCTCCCCTTCCCCCGTCCATCCTGCTATGGGTGCGCCACACCACAGCAATGTGATCGATGTGCTGACCAATGCCATGGAATTCCTAGAGATGAAGGTGCACGGGCTGGACGTGGAGAGCCCATGCTCTAGGTGTAAACAGAAGTGTTTGGAGACGTCTCAAAACACTTCTGTTTACACCTAGAGATGAAGGTGTGCGGGCCGGACGTGGAGAGCCCATGCTCTAGGTGTAAACAGAAGTGTTTGGAGACGTCTCAAAACACTACTGTTTACACCTAGAGATGAAGGTGCGCGGGCCGGACGTGGAGTAGAGCCCATGCAACTCCATGCCCCTGCTCTCCCCCTCTTTCGTTTCCCTGTTTGGTATTTCACAGCAAGGTGATAGACGTGTTGACTGAAGGCAATGGAGTTCCTTGAAATGAAGGTGCGCGGATCGGATCTGTAGCCCATGCAGAAAGTCTTCTCCCTCGTGCGCTCTGAGCTCAACCTCAAGGCAGGCTCGAACCCACCCCCCTTTTCCCTCTTTTCCCCATCCCCATTCCTCCCTCCCTTGGTGCGACGCAGCAAGGTGATCGATGTGCTCACCAAGGCAATGGAGCTTCTGGAGATGAAGGTGCGCGGGTCGGACGTGGAGTGGAGCCCATGCAGAAAGTCTTCTCCCCCGTGCGCTCTGAGCTCAACCTCGACCCCACCTCCCCTTTCTCCTCTCTCTCCCCTTCCTCATTCCTCCCTCCCTTTGTGCGCCCCCACAGCAAGGTGATAGATGTCCTGACAAAGGCAATGGAGTTCTTAGAAATGAAGGTGCGCGGGTCGGACGTGGAGCCGATGCAGAAAGTCTTCTCCCTCGTGCGCCATGAGCTCAACCTCGACCCCAAGAACCTCAAGCAGGAGACCAAGAAGTTCTGGACTCGCTTCCCCGCTCTCATTAAGGTGATTTGCCTTTGCTGATCTTCGGAAGGTAAGCCTCATCTGAACCTTCAACCCTGAACCCTGACACTTGCAAGCCCAGATTTACTTTTGAGAATTCTGAAAAGTAATTTCCACCCTAAGCCCTGAAATTATTTGCAAGCCCAGAATTTGAACCCTGAATTTTGAGTCGACTCAAAAGCGAATTTGAACCCTGAATTTTGAGCCACCGAACATTGAACATTGGTGTTTGAAGCACGCTGAGCAGACTATCTGTTACCAAAGACTATTTGTCACCAAAGATGTGAGCCAAATCAACCAATGTGAAGCTCACACATTTCCTCCCTGCATCCCTGCCTCCTTCTTTCGCCCTTGTCACTTGCAGGTGGAGCTGCTGCTGCTGGCGCAGCTCACACGGCAGGCAGACTTGGTTCCACCTGAGCTGAGGAAGGACTTCAATACCATTCTCAAGCTCACGCCACGGCTCATGGAGGAGCTTATCAAGGTGCGTTGTGTGGTTGTTTGGCGTTGCTCTTATAAGGCGAACAGGACTCGATGAGGTGCCTGCTTTTCCCCTCCGCCCGTTCCCTCGTATGCCCCCTCTGCGACAAACTTCCTTCTCTCTCTTCCTCTAAGCTATGTAAGTTCCGAGGAGGAACTGTTCCTTCTCCCCTCCGCCCGTTCCTCTCCATGCTTCTACCAAGCCATGCCACTGTTGGATCCGCATTGATGCTTTTCCCCACCCCCCCACCCCCCCACTGTTGGTGTTTGGCCCCAATCTCACATTTTGTACTTGAACTTTTATATCCTAGTTTAGTGTAGTTTGCACTTTGTGTTTGGTTGGGTGTACACCCACATCCCAACCAAACCCAAATGTAATCTCCAAGCAATCTCCAACCCACCAATTGGAGATTGCCTTGGGATTACCCTTGATTCCCTAGGATTGCCTCCTGATTCCCTCCTCATCCCTACCTTGCTCATTCCGGATGTACTTAAAGAGCTTTGAGCTCACTACTATAGTATCGATTCTGAGCTCAAGTTCTGACATGGTATCAGAGCAGCTCAACCGCATACGCGGATCGTGATCCTCTCATCTCTGCGGATACTTGTCCCGCAAACCTCCGGGAAGCCATCGCCAATCTCGTCGCCGTTGATTCGCGACATTCATCGGCGGAATTTCTCCCGCCACATCTTCCTGTCACCATCGACGGAAACTTCTCTGGTAAGCGCATCGTCGGCGCTCTAACCTAACACTCGTTTTCATCAATTCGTCACTCTCGTCACTTCTTCTCCTCGTCGGGCCGCCGCCCGTCGCCCTGCAGCTTCTCGTCGGGCCGCCGCTCGTCGCCCTGCAGCTTCTCTTCGGGCTGCCGCCCGTCGCCCTGCAGCTTCTCGTCGGGCCGCCGCCCGTCGCCCCGCAGCGTCATCTTCGGGCTGCTGCCCGTCGCCCCGCATCTGCACTCCTACCCCCATCCCCCCTCTTTCCCGCAGCTGAATAGGTGCAGCAACGCAGCCGAGCAGCAGCGTAGCCGCGAAGCCGAGCAGCCGTGTAGCCGCGAAGCCGAGCAGCAGCGTAGCCGCGAAGCTGAGGGTGGTGTGTGGGGTGGTGTGTGGGAATAGGATTAGTAGATAGTTGACACTAAATTGGCGTCTCAGTCAAATTCTCCTTCAGAAACCCTAAACCTCAATATTCTCTTTCGTAAACCCTAAACCTCCGGTTCTTCAAAATCTCCTTTGGAAACCCCAAACCTCAAGTTCCTATCGGTGACTTAAGAGCGGCGCTCCGCGCGAGAAGTTAAGGGGTCTCCACCATGGCTTTCTCGTCTTCCACCATGGCGAACCCCATCACCCCGCTCCGCCTTGAAGCCGATGGCTCTAGCTCCAACTTCAAGGCGTGGAGCTACGGAGTTGACAAGCACCTCCTGAGCCGTGACGTGCAGGGCCTTGACCTCAAGGACGTCCTCCTCAACCGTGACAAAGGGAAACAGCCCACTCTTCCCCGTGAACCGACCGAATCTTCAAGTGATGCTGACGTGATGACGTACGAAGAAGCTGTTGAGAAGTACCGGAAGTGGGAGAAGGCCGATGCTGCCATCATCAGCGTCTTCATTGCCTCCACCCCTCCCGAACTTGTCAACACGTTCCACAACTACCCTACCTCCAACGCCATCTGGAAGTATCTCCAGGATCGGTTCATGAACAAGACGGCGGTCGGAGTGGCGATTCTCATCCCCAGCATGTTTCAAGTCCGTCTTGAGGACTGCTCAGGAATGGCTGACTACATCGCCAAGGTGCAGACCATTCATGGTGAACTCAAGGTGCTGGGTATAGTCTTCCCCGAACAAGCCCCTGCAGCCGCCCTTCTTGTTGGTCTCTCCTCGGCATATGAAGTCACGAGGAAGATGCTCCTCACGCTCTCAGCGGAAGACCTCACCTTTGCTAAGGTCTCCACCGCACTCCTCTCTGCCGAGAAAGACTCCACGGCTCAGGCCAAGGCATACGCCATCCGTGCTTCCATGCCCCTAGCAAGTGTTGCAGCGGCCCTTGCCTCGGTGCCTTTCCAGCGCAACCGCTTTCCTCCGTGCACCTACGTCGTCAAGTATGGCAACCGCAAGGGACAAGTGTGTGGTGGCACTAACCACCCCCTTGCCACGTGCTTCAAGAAGAAAGACGACGAGTGGTATGCCATCCACGGGGTTGACAAGAAGCCGCCAAACTGGATGCGCGCTCGTAAGGCCAATCTCGTTGAGGTCCAGGACCCCTCTTCGGCTAGTGCTAGTGTTAGTGCTCCTGTTGATGTGCGTATCTACCTGTTGTTTCCTGGCACTGCCATGATTAATGAAGCCACTTCCCAGTACATGGACTCATCACAGGCACCACAGTACATAGAGTTCACACTCGACAGCGGGGCCACTCACACTGTGCTCAAGGAGACACTCTCCTTCAAACCCTATCCAGCACCTATCCCTCTCTTGGGAGCTGACTCCAGCTTCACCACCCTAGCCAAGGGCACCTCCACAGTCCCATGCCCAGCCTTCCCTTCCGGCACCGTCACTGGCATGTGCGTGCCTTCACTACGCCACAATCTAGTGGCTCAAACAGAAATTCAGAAAGCAGGGCTACGCACCATCTTCTCGGAGAATGAGGACCACTGCGACATCATTGACCCACTCACCAACAAGGTCTTGGCCCGCTTCACCCTCAATAGCAGCGGCCTCTACACGTTACGCGTTCCTCTCCCACAGGTTTCAACCACCCAAGCACAGGCTCCCATCACACCATGCACATGTCGCAGCCTCTCCAACCCGACCATCCTCTATCATCATCGTTAGGGCACCCAAACTTCCGCACGCTTGCTGACATGGCCTCCAAGAAACTTCTTCTCGGCCTGCCAGCCACACTTCCTCCACCACCTGACTCACCCGCCCCCACGTGCCTTGATTGCACCAAGAGCAAACTGCGCCAACAGCCCCACACTGCCTCACCCACAATCGCAGCGGCACCACTGGACCGAGTGCACATGGACGTCTGGGGCCCTGCCCCTGTTCCTGCACGAGGTGGATATCGCTACTTCCTAGTTATCGTGGATGACCACTCACGATACGTCTCTGCTCACCTCCTCCACACTAAGGCTGAGGCTCCAGAGGTCATCATGGCGTGGGTCAAGCAGGCACAGACCACCTTAGACCGCAAGGTCAAGCGCCTTCACTCGGATGGGGGGGGTGAATTTTGCAACGACAAGCTCAAAGCCTTCTGCTCCTCCGAAGGCATCCAGCAAACCTTCACCCTCCCTGACAGCCCTCAACAGAACGGCATAGCTGAGAGCCGCAACCACACCCTAGTGCAGATCACTCGGTGCCTCCTCAGCCACTCCAACGCTCCACACTCTCTCTGGGGATACGCTCTCTACCACGCCGCCCTCCTCTACAACCTTTACCCCATCCGCACCTTCCCGACACCACTCCAACCACACTCTGGCTCGGGAAAACGCCCACTGCTCGCTCTCTTCGCGTTTGGGGATGCACCGCCTATGTCCTCCTCAACCCTCAGGCTCGACGCCAGAACGGTGGCAAGCTCGGTCCCAAGACTCAAACGTGCATCTACCTTGGGCACAACGCCGACTCACCTGACTACCTCTTCCTCAATCCCTCCACTCAACAGTTGGTCAGGAGCCGCGACGTTGTCTTTGATGAGACCCGCCCATTCTACTCCCCTTCAGGACGGGACCCTCTCCCTGATCCACCCTCCCTCGTGTGGGCAGACTTTGACGCGCCTCCCGACCTCCCGCCTGCTCCTGCCCCCTCACCTCCTCTCTCTCCTGCCATCCCACCATCTCCCTCTGAGGTCTCTGACCCGGCCTCACCGGTGTCTTCGGCAGCTGCTCCGCCCCCCCCCCTCACCTTCCTCACTTCCCGCTGCACCGCCCCCTCCGAGCGCACCTATCACCATTGGCGGTCCCACCCTCCGGCCCCACCTCCTCCCCCAGTTCCCCCCACCACAGAGGAACCCGCTCTCCCACAGTCGCCCGAGCTGATCACGTACCGTCGGCGGCCCATTCCCCCACCCAAGCCTCCTAAGTCACCATCTCCGACACCGCCTGCCCCACCCTCCTCACCGGTGGCTCATGGCACCCGCTCCCATCGCGCTGCTCTTCCACTCGCAATGGTTCTTCGATACACAACGATCACACCGCCTCCTCCTGCTAGGGGGGATGTGCCCTCTACCCTTCTAGAAGACAGGCATGAGGAGCTGTGTGATCTCCATGCAGTCATTCCTCAGCTCTCACACATCTTCCCCGATATCACTGGCTCACCCTCCCTCAACCTCGCGGAGAACCCGACCATCCCTATCCCTCTCACCATCCAAGAGGCTCTCTCAGGCCCTCATGCTGCCGAATGGCGTGCTGCCATGGACGCGGAGATTGCAGCATTCACTCGCAACCACTCCTTCGACGACGAGACTCCACCTCCAGGAGTCAACATCGTCGGGGGCAAGTGGTTGTTCCGTGTTAAAACAGCTCCCAGACGAGGCACCGGTGTTCAAAGCGCGTTACGTAGCCAAGGGCTTCACCCAGCAGCGGTACCGCGACTTCGACCTAATCTTCTCCCCCACATCCAAACCTCCCACCATTCGAACGCTCATGGATGTTGCAGCTCGAGAAGACTTTGAGATCAAATCCATGGATGCCTCCTCCGCCTTCCTACAAGGACGTCTCAAGGAGACAGTGTTCATGGACAGACCAGAAGGCTTCCCAGGAGAATTCCCTCCCAACACTGTCTGGAAGCTGAATCGCCCTGTCTACGGCCTTAAACAAGCCCCTCGCGAATGGCACATCAAGGTGAAAGAAGTCCTCCTCTCCCTGGACTTCCACCCCTCAACTGCTGACCCGACTCTCTTCATCCGTCGTCATTCTGAGCCATTCTACATCCTAGTCTACGTGGATGATTTTATCCTCGTTGCCAAGGACTCGGCCCAAATGACCTCAGTCCAGGCAGCCCTGAGCAAGGCCCTCCAGATGAAAGACCTCGGTGACCTCAAGCACTACCTGGGAATGGAGATCACTCGTGATCGCACAAGGCTCGCACCATCTCACTCTCCCAGGAGTTCTACATCGACAATGTGCTCAAGCGGTTTGAGATGGAGCTGTGCACACCTGTTGCCACCCCCGCTGCCGCTGGCAACACCTCCTTACAGCTCCTGCTGTACCCACACCAGAGGCCTGCTCTAAGCCATACCCGGAACTTGTTGGGTCCCTCATGTACGCCATGATGTGCACCCGACCGGACTTGGCCTACCCAGTCAGTGTTCTCTCTCGTTACGTGGCCCCGGGTCGCTTCACTAATCTTCATTGGAAGGCAGCAAAGCGGGTGCTGCGCTATCTTAAGGGCACAAAGTCCCACGTTCTCACACTCGGTGGGCTCTCCCCTCCTCGCCTGGAAGGTTACACAGACTCCTCCTGGGCTGATGACCAGGCCGACCGACGCTCCTCTCAGGGGTACTGCTTCACCCTCGGGAGCGGAACTGTCAGTTGGCGCTCCACCAGGTCGTCTGCAGTCTCCCTCTCCTCCTGTGAGGCGGAGCTCTACGCAGGCACCATGGCTGCTCAGGAGGCCCGTTGGCTCACCTTCCTACTCCAGGAGCTTGGCTTCCCTCAGTCAGCCCCCACCCTCTGGTGTGACAACCAGAGTACCATCCACATCTCTCAAGACCCTGTGTATCACACCCGCACCAAGCATATTGAACTTCGGCACTTCTTCATTCGTCACCTTGTGCAACAAGAGCAGCTGAAGGTGGAATACGTGGCATCTGACTGCAACCTGGCTGACCTGTTCACCAAGCCCCTTGGGAAGGTTCCCCACCATCGTCTCCTTGGCGCCATGGGGCTCTGCGCTCCTCCCTCTCCGCCATGAGTTCGATTGACGCCTCAGGGGGGGTGTTGGTGTTAGGCCCCAATCTCACATTTTGTACTTGAACTTTTATATCCTAGTTTAGTGTAGTTTGCACTTTGTGTTTGGTTGGGTGTACACCCACATCCCAACCAAACCCAAATGTAATCTCCAAGCAATCTCCAACCCACCAATTGGAGATTGCCTTGGGATTACCCTTGATTCCCTAGGATTGCCTCCTGATTCCCTCCTCATCCCTACCTTGCTCATTCCGGATGTACTTAAAGAGCTTTGAGCTCACTACTATAGTATCGATTCTAAGCTCAAGTTCTGACACCCACCCCCCCACCCCCCCCACCCCCCCCACCCCCCCCACCCCCCCACCCCCCCACCCCCCCACCCCCCCCACCCCCCCACCCCCCACCCCCCCACCCCCCCACCCCCCCACCCCCCCCACCCCCCCACCCCCCCACCCCCCCACCCCCCCACCCCCCCACCCCCCCACCCCCCCCACCCCTCAACCCCCGGCCAGCCCTCTCTTTCCTTCGCCACGTGCTCTCCTCCTCTTTCCTGCCCCACAGATCTCTCTGTAACCCTCGTCCTCCTGTGGGGCATGCCTGGTTGCGGCCAGCAGTGGGGGCCATCGAGCTCTCCCAGAGATTCTATCAGGCTGTGCCGCTGTCGGCTCACATCCCCAGTACTTTCCATGTGGCTCCGTTTGTTGTGCCACCCCACCACCCCACCCCTCCCCAGATCTATCTCTACCCTCGTCCCCCTGTGGGCTACGCCTGGTTGCGGCCAGCAGTGGGAGCAATCGAGCTCCCAGAGCTTCTATCAGGCCGTGCCTTGGTCTACTCACCACCAATACTTCCCCTTCCGCTCTGCCTGTCATCCCTCCATCTACATCTCACCCAACCCTGCGTTTTTCCACAGATCTCTCTCTACCCTCGCCCCCCAGTTGGCTACGCCTGGTTGCGGCCAGCAGTGGGAGCAATCGAGCTCTCTCAGAGCTTCTATCAGGCCGTGCCGCTGTCGGCCCGCAAGCAGACGGACAAGGGGGGCAGTGCGGAGGGCATTGCTGCTCTGCTGCAGCTGCCGCACGTGGACGAGGGGGTGGTGAAGAAGCTTACTAGAAAGGTGAGCTGCTGTGTGGGCAGGTGAGGAGTGGTGTGGGCAGGTGAGGAGTGGTGTGGGAAGGTGAGGAACAGTGTGGGAAGGTGGGGTGTTAGTGCTGAAAGCCTGGAAGGAGGGCATTGCTGCGCTGCTGCAGCTGCCGCATGTGGACGAGGAGGTGGTGAAGAAACCCATGAGCAAGGTGAGAAGCGGTGTGGGCAGGTGAGGAGGGGTGTGAGAGGGTGGGAGATGCTGACTGAGGAAGTCCAAACCGTCCTGCTCACCAGTATTGAGTGTCTGACTGCAGCAGAAGCGTGTTTTGAGACGTCTCAAAACTCACCAGTATGGAGTGTCTGACTGCAGCAGAAGCGAGTGATGCGGAGACCACCCGGAGCACCATGCCTGAGATGGTCGTCAACATTCCCTTCCCCTCTCCCTCCTTTTTCTCCCCTCGTCATGCACCAGAAGCTGAAGAATTTCCAGGAGCTCAGGGAAATGACAGAGGAGGCCCGCACCGACCTGCTCACCACAGTGGGAGGACTCAGCACATCAGAAGCGAGCGACGTGGAGGTGCTGGTCCACACTGCCTTTCCTTTTTCCTCCTTTCCCCTCCCCTTGTCCAACAACAGAAGCTTAAGAACCTCCAGGAGCTCAGGGAACTAAGCGAAGAGGCTCGCACCGACCTGCTCACCACAGTGGGGGGTCTCAGCCCTGCAGAAGCCAGTGATGTGGAGGCGACTCTGAGCACCATACCTGAGATGCTGGTGGACGCGGCGTGCATCACGCAGGGCGCAGACGACGGCATTCAGGAGGGGGACGTCGTCACCCTCCGCATCTGGCTCACCCTCCGCCGCGGCAACGGGCATGTAGTCTCCCACCCCCACATGCCGCACTTTCCCTACCGAAAAGACGAGGCCTTCTGGCTGATGCTGGCCGACCAAGCCGGGAACTCCGTCTGGCTCTCCCAGCGGGTGACTTTTCTGGATGAGACCGCGGCGATTCGGGCGGCGGCGGATTATACGAGAGAGACGGTGGAAGCGGAGGGGTTTGATGATGCGGAGGTGGCGAGGGAGGTGAAGGAGGCAGTTGAGAGGGTGAAGGGCGGCGCGCGGCTGGTGATTGGGAAGTTTCAGGCGCCGGCTGAAGGGGTGTATGCGCTGACTGTCATGGTGATGAGCGACGTTTGGATTGGGTGTGACAAGAAGGTTCCTCTCAAGATCAAGGTGCGTGTATTTTCGAAACCTTTAAACCTAACCATGGGATGGGATGGTGTGGCGCTGCTGGTGATTGGGAAGTTTCAGTCGCCGGCTGAAGGGGTGTATGGGCTGACTGTCATGGTGATGAGCGACGTTTGGATCAGGTGTGACAAGAAGGTTCCTCTCAAGGTCAAGGTGCGTGTATTTTCGAAACCTTTAAACCTAACCATGGGATGGGATGGTGTGGCGCTGCTGGTGATTGGGAAGTTTTAGTCGCCGGCTGAAGGGGTGTATGCGCTGACTGTGATGGTGATGAGTGACGTTTGGATCGGGTGTGATAAGAATGTCGCTTTGAAGATCAAGGTGAGTGTACTTTTGAAACATTGAAACCCACTCATGGCATGGGATTGCATGGAAGTGTTGGTGATTGAGAAGGTTCAGGCGCTGGGTGAAAGGGTGTATGGTTGGTAATTGGGTTGGTAATTGGGTTGGGAATTGGGTTGGGAATTGATCCTTATTCAAGCGTGAGGCGTGGGTGCCTGCTGAAGGGGTGTATGCGCTGACTGTGATGCTGATCAGTGACGTGTGGATCGGGTGTAATAAGAAAGTCCCTCTAAAGATCAAGGTATGTGTGGTGTGGGGTGGGATGGGATGGGATGGGATGGGATGGGATGGGATGGGATGGGATGGGATGGGATGGGATGGGATGGGATGGGATAGGGTGAGAACAAGGGCTGGAACATGTGGGGCAGTGGTGATTTTGGAAGGGTTCAGAGAGAGCGACAAGGTGTTGTGTACGGTTCTCTCTCCTCCCCACTCTCTCCCTCGCCGCTCCCTCTTTTTCCTCCCCTTCACACCCTTTAGGTGGGCAAGAGAACACGGGCCGGAACAAGGGGGGCAGTGGTACCTTCAGAAGGGGCTGGGGAGAGTGACGAGGAGGGAGAGGAGGAGGAGGGAGAAGGGGAGGAGGAGGAGGGGTATGATGAGGATGATGACTACATGAGCGAGTATAGTGAGGATGAGGAGGAAGAGGGGGAGGGGGAGGGGAAGAAAGGAGGGGAGGGTGATAAAACGGAGGGCTCGGATGGCAGTGGAGAGGAGGATGAATCTGAGCCGTTGATAGATGGCAAGAAGAAATGAGAGGTCATGCCAGAACTCATCTCTGGTTGCACGGTTGCATTCTTTGCTCAACAACTCCGACCTCAATTCATTTTCTGTAGGCTTATTTTAGTGCACCTCGTTGATATTTATGCATCGCATACCGTACATTTCCGTTTTCTAATAATGTCGGTGAAGTACTCATAAAAAAGCTGGCAATGCAAGCACAGAGAAAGCCACCTGCATTGCGTACAAAAATGGTTTCACAGGGCACCTGCCGCTTCCTACTCACCCACACTGAGCTTTTTTAGTAAGCCGCACAATTCCCACCGTAAACGCATCACGTCTCACTTAATACACATCCCACCGTAACAATGAAACGAAACACATCACTTGCGCTTTCGCTTGCCCTTGCCTCTCCTGCTCGTCCTCCCGGAATCCTGTGGCGTGGCAGATATGGTGTGTGTGGGTAGAAACATTTTCACTTGTTTAGGTGTGTGTGTGTGTGTGGAAGTAAAGGAAGCAGGTGGCACTGAACCCCCGTAGCAATGTGGAACACCACAAGGCAACAGGCAGCGAAAAATCTGGAACAGCAGTGTGACACTGAACCCCCGTAGCCATCCCCACTGTGAACCCCATTGTGAACCCTGCAGTGAAACAAGGTCAGCCAGCATACCATATTGCATGACAACCAACGAGCTCAAGTGATCGTCCCTTAGGACCTGCAGTGCAAAGGTGTGTCAACTCACGACTTACCCTGAGGTGTTGACGATAGGCAATGCGGCCGTAAAGGGTCTTCCCTGATGCTGTCACATACACCTGCAGCAGGCACACATGGGCAGGGTGGGAGGGACACACAGACGGATAAGATATCTTAGGTGCCTCAGACCACCGCTGTTACCAGCAGCACCCCTTCCCATACAACCACCCACCGCCCCCACCACCCCTTCACGTAGGTTTCTTCTTATTAAGCTTCTCAAAAAGATACCTATAGCAAGGTGAGAACAGCTCACCTTCTTGCTGCCCTCTGCTACCCAGTGACCGCCGCTGCTACCGGCAACACCCCTTCCTATACCCGCCACCGCTGCTGCCACCAGCAGAGGTTATGCAATATTGGGAGCAGAGACAGTGCAGATAACTCACCTTCTTGCCGCCCTCTGCTACCCAGTGACCGCCGCTGCTGCTAGCAGCAGCACCCCTTCCTATACCTATATCCACCACTGCTGCTGCCATCACCACCCCTTCCAGAAGGTATTTTTCTCGAATTCTCAAAACACACCTAAAACAAAGTGTGAGACAGCTCACCTTCTTGCCACCCTCTGCCACCCAGTGACCACCACTGCTACCAGCAACACCCCTTCCCGTAACACCACCACCACTGCTGCCACCACCACCACCACCAGCCCTGGAAGCAACAGCACCACCGCCACCACCACTCCCTCTCCTCCTCCCACTGCCCCCTTGCTGCTGGGAAAGCTGCTGCTGCCGTCCAAATCCCTCCCCTCCCATCCTCCCCCCATTCCTAGCAGCGCTCCCAGCACCACCAGCACCAGCAGGCTGCTGCGGGCACATGTAGTGAGGTGCATTTTGAGGCGCCTCAAAATGCACCTTCCTAGCAGCGCTCCCAGCAGCACCAACACCAGCAGGCTGCTGCGGGCATGGAAACCCGGAACCCCCGACCTCATAGCAGCCATTCTCATTCTCATTCTCATTTCCATGCGCTTGAGAAAAAGGGCGGCCTCCTCTGTCAGTATCTGCCCCGGAGGGAGTTTCGGAGCCAAACTGGCATCGGTAGTCGATGAAAACAGGGTCACCGTTGGCATCGCACCCCCGCTCCTCCAGCCACCCCACCAGCTGCAGGTGCGGCAGGCGCCGCTGCAGCAGCTGCCTCGTAGCCTCCGACAGCGTGGGTGTTGTTGCCGGAGTCTGTGTTGCGGGTGGCTGATGCATGGAACTTGACGGCACAGGTGTTTGCTGCCGGGGTCTGCCTTGGGGGCTGTTGTGTGGCGCCTTGCCTTGGCATGACGTGGGACAAAACAGGGGGTCTGTGTTGAAAGCGGGTGTTGCTTCAACGCGTCAGTGAAACGACCTGGTAGTTGAGAATTCTCAAAAACCAGCTCGTGTTGCAACGCGTCAGTGAAACGACCTGGCGGTTGAATCACTGAGCTCCGTCTCTGGGTGTAGCCAGTTCCCACCGCCCCCTCACACACATCTGCTGCCCATCCCTCATCGTCTCCATCCAAGAACAGCCGCCGCCGCAACCCCTCCACCTCTCCACACCTCTCCTCTCTCCCCTCACCCTCCTCTCCTCTCTCACCCGCCTCCCCTTCCTCTCGCCCCTCCGGAGGCGTGTCCTCTATATCTTCTACATCTATCATGTTTCTCACACCCACCATCTCAGTATCATCCTCAATATCATCATCCATCCGCAACCACGTCTGAGGTAGTCTAGGCATCGCTGGGCAGGACATGGGGCGCTTAGACGGTACTGGAGCAGGCATTAACGGGGCTGCAGGGGAACGCCCTACACAGCTGGATGAGCGGTGACAGCTTGCTGTTGCTGCAAACCCAGGTGCTGTTGTCTTTGATAATGGTGGGTTGTCTGTTGCTGCTGCTGCGGCTGCTGTTGCTGTGTCTGCTCGTCGCCTGGGTGATGGTGTGGCTGCTGCTAATGATGGTGCTGATGGTGAGAGCAGCATCGGAGAAGGCGAGCTGCACACAAACCCCATGCCCGCTTTCAAAGGCGCCTCTGACTGGCTCCCCTCCCCCAGTTCCTTCCGTCTACCCTCCTTCGTTTCCTCCTCCTTCCTTCTCTCCTCCTTCCATCGTTCCTCCTCCCTTCTCTCCTCCTTGCTCTCTCCCGCCCTGCCCCTTACCTCTACAGCCTTTCGCAGCCTTTTAAACCTCCTCCCTCCGTCTCTCTCCGCACTTGCAGCAGCACCACCAGCACTACCAGCAACATCAGCATGAGCCCCAGACACCTCAACCTTCACCTTCTTACCACTCTCAACCCTCCCATAAACACCATCTCCAAGGGCTCTCTCACTCCGTTCATCTTCACGACACCTCTCGCCGTCCCATCCCACTGCCACTCGCTGCTCAACTGCCCCCTGCTTCCCTTCCCAGGCTTCCCTCTTTGCCAACCCTTCGTCATCCCCCACTGTGCTCTCCATCTTTCTATGACTCCGGTCAAAAACTCTCTCTGCTGCTCCTTGTTGCCCGTCCCTCTCTGTCATGCATTGCCCATCCCCCAACGCGCCCTCTTCCCCATCCCACCCCTCCAGCCCCAACGAGAAACTGGGTGCGTCCAAACCCTGTGACGCCTGAAATCCTGATTCCTGTGTCCCCGATTCCTCCGGCGCCTCAAAAGCCGTCTCATGCTTCACGCCCATCTTTGGAGGCGCCTCAGGATTCAAGGAGAAGCTGGGAGCGTCCAGGCCCTGTGAGGGGGAGAAGTTCATCCCATCAAGTTCTGCCTGAATCTCAGAGGGCTGCACGAGAGGGGGGGACTTTGGAGGCGCCTCAGGATGAAACGAGAGGCTGGGAGCGTCCACTCCCTGTGAGGGGAGGAAGTTCATCCTCGCATCAGGTTCCATGTGAAGCTCGGAAGGCTGCACGTGGAGGGAGAAGGACGGCGGTTCAAAGTCAAACTCGCCCATCGCCATCCCTCCCCCTCCTCCAAGGCCTCCGCTTCGTCCTGTACACACCGTGCGTCCTCATCTGCTAATACTTTCTCCTCCGCCCCGCTTAGATTCTCCTCTTCCCTTCCTCCATTTGCACACTCTCCTCTCTCCTCCTCTCCTCTACCCTCCCCTCCTTTCCCCACCTCTCCTCTACCCTCCTCTCCTCTCCCGACTCCTCTCCCCTCACTTCTCCCCTCTCTACTCCCCGCAAAACCTGACTGCACCATCTCGCTACTGCCTCCTGCCTTCTCCCTTCCTTCCCCCTCCTCATGCCCCACCTCTTCGCGTCTTCTCACTTCTCCTCCCTTCTTCCCTTTCCCCCGCCCTTCGCTTCCCTCTCTTTCCTGCTCTTCCTCTACCCTTATCCTTCCGCCCCCGCCTTTGTCTTCCTCTTGTGAATCTGAAAGAATCTCCAACCCATCCACCTTTCTCCTCCCTCCTTCCCTTGCACTTTCCATAACAATTTCGACCGTGGACTGCTCAATCAAGGACTGCCACGTGGCTTCGTCGTCAGGCTGAGTCATCATGGAGTCGTCACTGTCAGCATCCCTGCCATCATGGTCAGCATCCCTGCCATCATTGTCAGCATCCCTGCCATCATTGTCAGCATCCCTGCCATCATTGTCAGCATCCCTGCCATCATTGTCAGCATCCCTGCCATCATTGTCAGCATCCCTGCCATCATTGTCAGCATCCCTGCCATCATTGTCAGCATCCCTGCCATCATTGTCAGCATCCCTGTCATCATTGTCAGCATCCCTGTCATCATTGTCAGCATCCCTGTCATCATCGTTCCCACCCATCGTTCTGTCTTGTTCCTCTCTTCCTGCCCCCTCCTCCCTTTCAACTGATTCTTGTACTCCGATATTCCCTCTTCTCTCCTCCCCCATCCACTTTCCTGCCTCCTGCTCCTCCTCCTCCTCGTTACCTATCACACGTCTCCTCTTCCTCCTCCCTCCACACTCTCTCACGTGCCGCTCCCTTAACCCCTCAAGTTCACGCTCATCCTGCTCTTCCTCCTCTGCCTCCTTCTCTCTCCCCTCCACCTCCCCCCCTTCCTCACCTGCCTCTTCCTCCTTTTCCTCCTCATTTTCCACCGCTTCCTCCTCTCCCTCCTCTGCCTCCACTCCCTCCTCTTCCCCGTCCTCATCCAACCAATCACCATCACCAGCAGCATCACCATCGCCATCACCATCATCAGCACAACCACCATCGCCATCGCCATCACCATCACCACCATTGTCATTACCATCATCATCGGACCAATCAGCAATGGTTTTGATCCTCCTCCTCCTCACCACAGCAGGTATCCCACACCGCCATGCAGTCGGGTGAAACACCGTGCCACTCCCAAACCCCCCTCTACCATCACTTCCTAAGTCCCCTCTATTGTCACTCCCGAACCCGCCTCTAGTATCACTCCCCAGTGTAGTCACATCCAACCCTCTCAAACCCCCAAATGTCCCAATTTCACTGACGCTCCTCCACGCCCTCTCTCCCACACTCCCCATACCCACACTCGCTCCCTCTCTCTCCCCCTCACTCCGCCACCAATCCCCGCAACCCTTCTCTCTCCAACACACTCTCCTCCTTCTCCTCTGAAACCTCCCCCGCTTACCCCCTTTCCCTCACTTGTCCCCCCTTTTCCTCCCCTTCCCGCTGTGCCACCCTCTCCACCTCCCCCCCCTCCACCTATGCCTGCCACTGGATGTGCTTGTCTTTTCTGCTGCCAGCTGGACCAGATCGGCTGTTGCACAGAAAACGACAAACGAGGCTTCTGCGGAACGCTATGCTTTCCCTTGAACAGCCTCTTTCTCGTTGGGTCCTGACGTGGCGGCTCGGCCATTTTGGACACGTCATCCTGACTCGGCACCAAATCGAGCTCAATCACCTCCGCCGTAACTCCTAAGGTCACATCGTCTAATGTCACACCTCCTGAAGTTGCACCTTGCGTTTTTGCTGATCCTCCCACTGCTCCTTCATCAGTCACATCACATACAGTCACACCTTCTCTAGTCACAAATTCGTGGTCAGATTTCTCTGATGATGGTGCTGCTGTTACCCCATCCGCTCCATGCGAATCCCATCTGAACCGAGCGGACGGCTGAGATGGAGCCTGCGAAGCTGATGGCTGTGATGGATCTGGCTGCGACGGACTGGGCGAGACCTGTTGCGAAGATGTTACGGGTTCCTGCGACAAATAACGCGACAGTGGGTGCCTGAATCTTGCGACGGGATTGGCTAAGCGGGAGAGGCCTCGAGCTATTTCTGGACTTGCCACGTGGCGGCATTGTATAGGCGGTAAATCCAAGACCGCTGATGAAAACCCTGGCCTCTTCTTTGCTGTCGACGAAAGCGGTTTTGCAAACACGAGAAATTTAAAGTATAGGATACCGTAAGTCAATAGCGCCTTATATTACGCGAGTCTGAGGTATCGCGAATTGGATCATCTGGGCAACGCGAGGCAGAGTCGAAAAAGCCACGGCTGGAACTGAAACCCTAACAAATACCTGCTCACTCAAGTCAAAGCCACCCTACGCTCGGTCAAAGCACTAACCGGAGCAGGCACAACAATCTCAACGGTCAATTATAAGACTGGTCTCAACCCAGACTGCCCAGTCGAATGGCGCTGCAAACTATGAGCCAAGCAACCTCAAGTTGCGAGGCGTCAAGTTGACGACGACTAGCCGTTATTCTCGACAATTTCGGGGCGTGTGCGGGACAGAATCGAACAGATTCAAATATTCGAATTGGGCGTACACTCCCACACTACTGTGCATTTTTTTGCAAAATTGGCATTGTACAGTTATGCTGCTTTTACTGTGGCTTGATCACAAATTGCTTATGTTGTGTTGTGTGTAGTTCAGCTTTGCCGAGCCTTTGACAGCAGCAACAGATGACAATAAAGAAAGGTTTTCAACCAACCAAAAGCAGATTTGCCTTGACCATGGTTTCTGCACATCTTATTCTCTGCCTCACATACTAGCTCATTCTTACAGTTGGTGCATGGTGCCTCTTATTTCCGCCAACCTAGCCCCTCCACTCCCTAGGCTTCATAGGGAGCTTCGAGTCCCGCCGTGGTTCCTAGATCCCGCCTAACTACCAGCGACTTTGCACTTGGCATTGAATCCGACACTTGGTTTGCTCACGCTAGCACTCGTGGCACAGCCAGTCTATTCCTATGCCAGAAAGCGTACTGGGACGATCTTAGTATTAGTGCTAATTAGGTTGAGAAGCAGATCATTTCGACGTTTAGATATTTCGATACTCCACCACTCCGATTTTGTGCATGTTCGACTGCATTTCGAGGGCTTTCTTTAGTGAATCTGTCTGCTGCCTGGCCGCTGTACTGAAGTCATAGGAACCGTCAGGTTCAGGAAACGCAACTTGATTGTCGGCGCCAGTAGCTTTCCTCCGGTTCCCGAACCAAATTTATCGTTGTTCTCTTCCTAGTAACCAACGGTTTGGATTCAGTTCTGGTAGTTATCTTCGGATTAAAGCCGAGCGGGTACAGAGATTTAGAGGAAGGATTCTGTCTCGTTATCGTTTAAAAGCCGTTACAATAGTCGTCGCGGAATTCCGTACCTTTCCCGTGACTTGGAACATTCCGTACGCGTTTTAAGGCTGAGGCGGCTCGACGGAGGAGAGGGAAAACGTCGCGGACTACACACTTCTGTATCGAATTGGCGTATATCGAATCAGCTTGCCAGAATGAGTGTACGTGCCATTTAATCCACGCAAGCTGATATCCTTCTTTCCCTGTTCGCCCTTTCCTCCCTTTCCCCTCCCTCCCCATTTAATCCGCCTTCTCTCCTTCCTTCTCCCCTTTTTCCTGCTCCCCCTTCCCTCCTCGCAAACTTCACTTGTTCTGTCGTTAAGTCTTCCGTGAGCTGTCTGAATCGCAGCAGGAGTCAGTGCAGCGATTCGTGCCTATTTTATGCGTAAAGTCTCTGCCTGTGTTTCTTATGCCGTACCAAATATTTGCGCCCCAGATTCCTCTACTTCTCTCCTTCTAACCGTTTACATCGGAGGCAGAAGGAATTGGTGCAGTGCAGCAAGGCGTTGCATTTCCCGTTGTCCCCACCCGTGTCATGTCATGTGACAGTTGCATATCCCGCGCATCCCCCCTTTTTCCTCGTGTTCCCTCATCCGACCCTACCCCGCACCCCTCTCCCGCTCTCCCCTCTCCATCTCACCCCCCTCCTCAGAGCCGTCTGAATCGGCAGCAGAAGGAGGCAGTACAACAATTCGTGGCGATCACAGGCACGAGGTGAGAATGGCATAGGCATGTGCACAGCACAGACGCGTGGTGAGCACAGCACAGGCACGTGGTGAGCACAGCACAGTCACGTGGTGAGCACAGCACAGGCACGTGGTGAGCATGAAGGTCTTGAGCGATGAACGCTGCACATTCCCCTTCCAGCGACCTCGGGGCACTAGCGGCCCTGAGCCCGAGCGAGTGGAACATGGAGCTCGCGTTCGACCTCTACTCCTCCTCCACCACCTCCACCTGGTTTTGAGGCGCCTCAAAAACGAGTGGAACATGGAGCTCGCGTTCGACCTCTACTCCTCCTCCGCCTCGGGTCTTCTCATCCCCTTCTCCCTCCCCTCCTTCCCTTCCCCTTCACCATCCCCTTCTCAGCAACCTCGGGGCACTAGCGGCCCTGAGCCCGAGCGAGTGGAAGATGGAGCTTCGCGTTCGATCTCTACTCCTCCTCCTCCACATCCAACCTCGTTTTGAGGCGCCTCAAAACGAGCGGAACATGGAGCTCGCGTTCGACCTCTACTCCTCCTCCTCCACATCCACCTCGGCCCCTCTCTTCTTCTCTTCCTTCGCGCCCTGCCTCCCTCCCCTCGCTCCCTTTTCTCCCAGTGACCGGGGGGCACTAGCAGCTCTGAGGGCGAGCGAGTGGAACATGGAGCTGGCGTTCGACCTCTTTTACTCCTCCTCCACCTCGGGTCTTCTCATCCCCTTCTCCCTCATCTCCCTCCCTCCTTCCCTTCCCCTTCACCATCCCCTTCTCAGCAACCGAGGGGCATTAGCGGCTCTGCGAGCGAGCGAGTGGAACATGGAGCTCGCATTCGATCTCTTCTACTCCTCCTCCACCTTCCATTCCCTCCCTCCCTCCCTCCCCCCCGCCCTCCCTCCCCTCCCCCCCTCGCCCCCTCAGCGATCGGGGAGCATTAGCGGCCCTGCGAGCCAGCGAGTGGAACATGGAGCTCGCCTTCGATCTCTTCTACTCCTCCTCCACCTCAACTTGTGCTCATTGTCCCTCCACTCCGCACATTCACTCCACACCCCACACTCCCATACTCCCCCCCCCACAGCGACAGGGGGGCACTAGCGGCCCTGCGGGCGAGCGAGTGGAACATGGAGCTCGCCTTCGATCTCTTCTACTCCTCATCACTGCACTTGTTCTCACTGACCCTCCTTCCATTCGCGTTGCAGCGATCGGGGTGCACTAGCGGCCCTGCGAGCGAGCGAGTGGAACATGGAGCTGGCGTTCGACCTCTTCTACTCCTCTCAAGCTCGGCCCATTATTCCCTCCCCTTCTTCTCCCAGCGACCGGGGGGCACTGGCGGCCCTGCGGGCGAGCGAGTGGAACATGGAGCTCGCCTTCGACCTCTTCTACTCCTCCTCCACCTCGGGTCAGCAGCTGAGGGCGTTGGGGCGCTCTGCTGCTCCTAAAGTGGACCCTCGGCAGCTGGAGCATCTGTTTCTCAGATACAAAGGTGGGGTAGTGCAGAGTTGTGCGAGGGTAGGTGCAGTGCAGTGGAAGGGTGTTTTGAGACGTCTCAAAATAATGCAGAGTTGTGCGAGGGTAGGTGCAGTGCAGTGGAAGGGTGTTTTTTGAGACGTCTCAGAATAATGCAGAGTTGTGCGAGGGTAGGTGCAGTGCAGTGGAAGGGTGTTTTGAGACGTCTCAGAATAATGCGGAGTTGTGCGAGGGTAGGTGCAATGCAGTGCAGTGCAGTGCAGTGCAGTGCAGTGGAAGGGGTTGGGAAGGTATGTATTTGCCCCTCGTTCCTGCCTCCCTTCCCTCTCCTGTTCCCCGCCAGTTTCCTGTGTCCCCCTGCATCAGTCGTTCATGCCGGCATGAGTTTCGTGTCGGATGTCATCCCCCGTATACGTTGATTCAATACTCTTCCTGCTCCCTACTGCTGCTGTGCTGTTTCCCTGCCTCAGACCCTCACTGCGATCTAATTCTCGTGGATGGCGTTTCAAAGCTCTGTGAAGACCTCGAGGTGTGTGTATAAGCTTTGAGAGGATTTCTTTTCTCCTCTCTTCTTTCCAGACCTTTGTCTTTTGTTCACTCCTTCCAATCCCTACTGTGGCCACAAGGTCTCAGATTTCACGTATTCTCCCTCCTGCTCTTAGGGTCTCCCTTTTCCTCTCCCCCCCCTCTCCCCCACCATTCACCTCCCTCTTTTCTTTCCATTGTTCTTTTTCACTTTTAGAATTGGAACGATTTCGAGGCCCCTCAATCCACCCCTTCCCCCTCCCCACACACACCCTTTCTTTCCCTCTCTCTTTCCATGGTTTCTTTCCCTTGTGGGCGGCAGGTGGATCCTCAAGACATTGTCATGGTAAGCGCAGGCTATGCTGCACAGCGGCAGGCGCTCATATAGGCATCCGTTCTCGCTTATGCGACTATGCATGCACATGCATCTTATGCACGCAAGTCATATTTTCGTGTGTTGCATACACTGCATACATCATCCATGCATGCATCGTACGCCGCACAGACTGGCCCCTGCGGCCACCACCCCATTCCACCGCATTTCATCCCATGCCAACCCATGCCAACCCATGCCAACCCATGCCATATCATGCCATGTCATGCCGACCCATGCCTCCTGTGCAGCGAATACCATCATGCACTTCAAGGCAGCGTCTATGTGTGATACTCCAAGAATGAATTTCCATTCACGCTGTAGACTGCTGTTTTTGCTTCTCCACATGTATTATCCCGACCCCCCCTCCTGTGCAGCTAATACTATCAGGGCACTTCAAGGCAGCGTCTATGTGTGAATACTCCAAGAATGAATTTCCATTCACGCTGTAGACTGCTGTTTTTTGCCTTCTCCACATGTATTATCCCGACACCCCTCCCTGTGCAGCTAATACTATCAGGGCACTTCAAGGCAGCGTCTATGTGTGAATACTCCAAGAATGAATTTCCATTCACGCTGTAGACTGCTGTTTTTCCTTCTCCACATGTATTATCCCGACACCCCTCCCTGTGCAGCTAATACTATCAGGGCACTTCAAGGCAGCGTCTATGTGTGAATACTCCAAGAATGAATTTCCATTCACGCTGTAGACTGCTGTTTTTGCCTTCTCCACATGTATTATCCCGACACCCCTCTGTGCAGCTAATACTATCAGGGCACTTCAAGGCAGTGACCATGTGTGAATACTATAATCCAAGGAGGATTTTCCATTCACGCTGCAGACTGATGTTTCTCCTTGTGCCATCTCCTCCCTCTCCTTTCTTCCCGCGCCCCTCCCTCTGCAGCTAATACTATCATGGCACTTCAGGCAGCGACCATGTGTGAATACTCCAAGGAGGAATTTATGCAAGGCATGCAACGACTGGGGTAAGGCATGCAACGACTGGGGTAAGTAATTCACGACGAAGAATGTGGGGATCAGATCAGAGAGTGTGTATGAGAAGCCCTTTGAGTCGACTCAAAAGGCATGCAACGACTGGGGTAGTAATTTATGACGAAGAATGCGGGGAACAGAGAGTGGGGATGAGAACGAGATGAGAAGAGAGGGAATGAGGGACTCGAAATTGGTGCTGGAAAGTGGATTAACAGATAGAGCCATTAGCAGTGTCAGTGCCCTATTAGTACCCTATCAGTGCTTTATCAATGCCCTATCTCCGTTCTCCCATTTTTCCCTCTCCTCCTCGCAGTGTCAGTAGTGCGGGCGAGCTCAAGGCAAGGTTGCCGGCACTGCGATCAGAAATTAACGACGACCGTGAGTGTCCGAGGGGGGGCGACTTGGAAAAGTGCCGGCAATAGAAGCGGGAGAGAGGAAAGAACGCACTAAGTGCTTTCCTCCTGAGGAGGGTGCGAGTGTCCTTGCTGTGCCTAACAAGTCGTGGGGGGAAGAGGGAGGGGAGGGGGGGGGGAAGGGGAAGGGGGGGTGTGTGGAGGGGGACGCTCAAGGCAAGGTTGCCGGCACTGCAATGACTGTGAGTGTTCGAGGGGGGGTGACTTGAAAGAGTGCTAGGAGAGGGTAGCACCCCCCCCCCCCCCCCCCCTCGAGGGGGGGTGGCTTGAAAGAGTGCTAGGAGAGGGTAGCACCCCCCCCCCCCCCCCTCGAGGGGGGGTGGCTTGAAAGAGTGCTAGGAGAGGGTAGCACCCCCCCCCCCCCCCCCCCCCCCCCCCTCGAGTCGAGGGGGTGGCTTGAAAGAGTGGTAGGAGAGGGTAGCACTTGGAGCAGAGGAGAGGAAAGGCCAAGCCGATGCTGGGCGCGTGTGCATGTTGCTTCTTCTGAGACGTCTCAAAAGGCGCGTGTGCATGTTGCTTCTTCCTCCCTCCTCGGTACTTCTGCGCTGCGCTTGCACATTCGCTCTTACTATCTGTGGGAATTGTGCATGGCGTGTGGGCGCGTGTGGGCATGTGGGGGCATGTGGTGGCATGTGGTGGCATGTGGTGGCATGTGGTGGCATGTGGTGGCATGTGGTGGCATGTGGTGGCATGTGGTGGCATGTGGGCATGCTATGTGCGCTGCATGTGGATGTGATGTGCACGGCATGGCATGTGGACGTGTGCATGTTTTTGATGCAGATAAATTCAGGGAGATTTACAACTTCTCCTTCGACTGGGCAAAGGAGAAGGTCGGTTCCAGCTTCTTTTCTATCAGTCAAAGAAACAGGTTATTCATGTGATGTGACCAACACAGATGCCTCTCTTGTGACCAACACAGGTGGGACCACTGTTTGCTGCTGCTGCTGCTCACACCCTTCATTCCCATCTCCTGCTTCTCTGCCTGCAGGGTCACAAGTCTCTAGCATTCGACACGGCAACAGGCATGTGGCAGCTGCTGTCTGCTGCATTTGTCAAAGTCCTTCCCTCTGCACTCCCAATCCTCACTGCATATGATTGTGCTGCAGGGTCACAAGTCTCTGGCATTCGACACGGCCATTGGCATGTGGCAGCTGCTGTTCACTGCTTCTACTCACGCCCCTCCTCATCCCCATCTCCCTCCTCTCTATGCCCATCTGCTGTTTCACGTTATGCCCTGCAGGGTCAGAAGTCTCTGGCATTCGACACGGCCATAGGCATGTGGCAGCTGCTGTTCACAGCGCGGCCTTGGCGATTCGTCGAGCATTGGTGTGAATACCTCCAGGTAGGCCTGTTGCTGTGAGTACCGGGTTAGGAGGAGTACTTTCAGGTGAGCTTATGCTGCGAATACCCAGTGTGAATACCTCCAGGTAGGCTCTCTTGCTGTGAGGAGGACCTGTGGTGGGGTGGGGTTACTTGCAGGTAAGACTGGTTATGGGTGTATCTTCTACTAGCTGGGCAAGTCAAGTCACCAGGTTGCACCCTCCACTCCCTTCCACCCTGCCCTACCCTCCCCGCCCCGCACCACCCCTCTCTGTCAATTCGCAGATGAAAACCAACAAGGCCATTTCTCGAGACACGTGGCACAGCTATTAGAGTTTACCAAGGTAAGCTGCGATTTTCCGTCATTAGAAATAGCAAGCTGATCGGTCGACAGCCAACCCTCCTCTCCACCGCCATC